AAAGTTAAGAATAACTATAATTAAAAGTCAGTTTTTGTCGAGTAAGTCCACTTTTTTTAAACAAGCCTTTTGAATCGCAAACTTGGAAAATATAAAAAACAAAGTATGTTGCATTTTATTATCAAGAAAAGTTTAAAAATTTATTTAAAGAGTACATATATTTTTAGAGCAAACAAAATTCGTTGTATTGCCGATTTGAAGTATTTTTTCTATTCCTCCTGCATTTGAATGTGAAACGTCAGCAGCATTTCGACACGGCTTGCCTTTATGCCCTGGTCCTGGTAACTCTCTTTGACTCGCTCTCCTCCAGGACTCCATCTCCTGCCTTTATCCTTATTCCTATCCCGAATCCTTTACGGACAGGAAAAAATGGAAGACTTTGAGCGGCGGCTCTGTTTCATTTGGTAGCCATAGATCCCGGCTGGAGTGCAATTTGTCTTGTTTCAGGCAGATTCCGATAGGATAGTCAATGGATTGAGCCCACTTACATTTCTGTTATTCCAGCAACGTTGTTGTTGTTCCTGCTTTGCCCGCTTTGACTTTGCTGTTGTCACTCGTCATTCCAACTGGTGGAGAGCTTGGTGAGGAGAGAGAAGATTACCGTTAAAAGCCGGGAGAGAGTGAAAGAACCTGCCAGTCAAATTCTTACTCCTCAATTACACTGGGACAGTGGTGGGTATTACAAATAAATAAAGGGGGTTGAGAATTGCAATTTTGATAAAACATATTTTATTTTGTGTTGAAATTAGCAATAAAACTATTTTCTATTTTAATAAATTTATTAATTTTACAGTCCAATTCTCAAAAAATTTACAAATAAAATAAACAATGTGTAGAAAAGTGTAACTTATTTTATGAAAATACAAGTAAAAGTTACAAGAAATTTTAAGGTGCATAACTAAGAGATACTTTTTTTGTGGTTTGAGATGACTGTATGTAAATTGTAATTGATATCTTCAAATGCTTGATTAAGGTTACATCTTTTACAAGTTCTTATAAGTAAAAGCCCCTCTTTTATCCGCCTCTGACCTGGAACATCACTATTGCAATACTCTCTTTATACATACCATCCTCTTCTAAGCCTCCGCTTGTGATTAATGACCCACAATCCCGATCCGGATCCAGATCCGCACCAAAAACGCAGCTAAGTGAAACAGCACGGGAGATAACAGCTTAAGCCGATTTCGTGCCCTGTATTTATTTGGCACGCCAACTTTTTAGCTAAGTGCAAAACAATTTACCTAAATTCCCACAACACACAAACGCACCCACAGACACACTCACTCACTATCCCCACAGCATTTGCACAAATACATACATGTTTGCTTAATTGTTCCCCCGACTCCTTTGTTGTTGTATTCCTTTTTTTTGTTGTTGCTACTCTTATTGTTTTTGTTACCGTTGCATCACTTGAAAAGCCTGCCAGAGCAGCTCTGCACTTTTGCGGTCTCTGGGTTTTGTGCATGTAATACCCTGTAGTTCATGGAAATTGGAATGGACAAGCAAACAACAGGCATCTTCTCGTTTTTTTGGCATATAAAAATGTTGTCTTTGGCCCCCGGCTATTATCCAAAAAATTATATAATTTTGAAATTAAAAAAAAGTATGACAATTTATAACTAAACTAAAGGCATTGGGAAATTTTTAAATATAAAGTTAAATAGAGTCCTAATGGACAGACTATATTCTAAATTATTAAGCCTCTACCACATCTACATAGAATTAACTAGATGCTTAATTTAAACAATTTTAAGAACTTTTTTGAAATTTTATTTTGGTTTAATACCGATTTAATCGTAAAATTTTAACTTTACATACTATTCAAAATATGAGGTATTTTTGAATAACGGTTATACAAATTTTGGATACTGTAAAAACCTTTGACATTTTACAGGGTACTCGGTCCTCTGCAATTGAATGCTGAAGCACTGGCTTAAACTTTCCCCCAGTTGTTTTATTATGCTAATGCAGCAAGCGCTGAGGCAACTCCCACCTGCCGCGTAGTCATGTGTGTTGATTGGCGCCATCCACCTCGTACACCTCGTGCACCCACTAGCACACACTTTCCGAAGGGGGAACTTTTGGGTTTATGTTTGCTGGGCGGTTGAGACGTAGTACAATAGCGACTTGTAGCAAAACTGGAAACTGTGCCAGCGAGTGCATTTGTGTAATGCCTTCTAAGCGGCATTAGACTAAGCCAAAAGTTTGATGGAGGGAAGCCAATAGCAAACACCTTGTGAAATATTAAAAGGCCACTGGTAGAAAGCAAACAAATGCTGAGAAAATTTAAAAGCACGTCAAAGACGAGGTCGTTTGCCTGGGAACTTCAGCAGACTGTAAAATGAAATAATTATGAGCGATAAATTTGCCGGCGTCTTGGAAAAATTGTCGCCAAAGGCGGGAGATGGTGGCACATCCGTCTGCGTTGATAATGAGCCGTGGAATGGACGGCGTTGTTTAGGCAACGTCGTCGTCCCAGCGAAAAACACTGGCAATTATGCAGGGCAAAAAACATTCAGAATTTCTAATTGGATCGATTCGAATGGTGGGTCCATTAAAAATTCACAAGATTCACGCTTTGTGCCGAGGCTAATTCAATTTAAAGGCCAGGCCTCAACCTCTCGCTCTCCGGCGCCGAAAAACTCCGGATCGAGCTCATATTTTATCGGGGCTGTCGTCTGGCTGCAGTTGCACGTGCCAATCCACTCCGGAGTCAAGAGCCCCCGCCCTCCCCGTCCGGATAGCACTTTTATCGGAGCGCGTAAATTTCAACACGGACGACAACGCCTCGCACAGATTTATTTTATTTACAGCGGCCAAAGGAAAAGCAGTTTGCCGGCTGGCTCCCCCTTTCATATAATTTCAATTATCGCCTGTTGGCTGCTGGCCATAAATTAAGTTAAAATCTGAGACGCTGCAGGTTGCGCTGATTGCATGTGAAAAATATTCCATTTTCCGTGGTACTTTTAATTAAGTGCAAATACAGAAGTTATGAACTCAAGTTTCAGCTTCGAAGAACTTTTCTATCTCTCCTTACGCATATTAAACCCTTTGACGGCGATTATCAGCATACCCGGATTCATTCGATCCGAGAACTTTTGGACAACCCCCAGAAAAAAAGAGAAAATGGTCATATTGCTGACTGAGCTAAAGTCCAAACTTTGGCAGCAACAACAAGTGACTGCTAACAAACGGAAACAAACAGCTGCATTAGCAGCCGCAAATCAGCAGCAATCACAGCAACAGCAGTAGCAGCAAACAGCAACAAACAAAGTTGAGCGCACTCACTTAAAAATTCCAAACACAAAAGCGGAAATATGCTAAAGCTTGGACTAGAAATGAACAAAACAAAAAACAGGACGAAACGGGAAATACAGTGACCGAGAAATAAAATACTCTTGGGAATTCACTTTTGAAAGGCCATAATATCAGGTATATGTTATTATTATTATATCACCTAAAGTGTTTTTAGCTTTTGTATTACAGTAAATAAGCGGTTAGAAAAAGTCGACAGTGCGTATGAGTGATAAGTTCAAAATATCCCTAAAAGTAGGCAATGATAAATTAAGTTTTATTAAGGTATTCCGGATTCAAATCATCTTGTGAATTGCTTTTAAATATCTTTATAAGTGTTTTTCTTTATAAATACATACTTAGAAATACATAATCATTTTAGATAAAATTTAACAAACCTTCAGTAAGGGTATGTAAACTCATGGATCGAGAGAAACGACAACGGAAATGACACAGCCGCCATGTTGGCCAACTTGTTGTTACCGCTGTCTGTGACTGCAATAGTTGTCGTTGTTACTGTTGGTTCCTTGGTTGGTTTGCTTGTTTGTCGCTTTGAAACGAGCTGTTAACGAGCATCGCCAGCCGTATTTCCAGATCCAGGTGAGAGATGGTGGAAATTGGAGCAAGGAGCGGAGTGGCAGGATAAGAAGGCCAAGAGAAATCGCTTAGCTAAAGACTTTCTTCCACCAGCAACTCCTCGAGTGGGCAGGCGCATGCGAGTGGCCTGTAAGCTACCGCAAATTAGTGATAATGAATAATTTCCCACAGCGATAATTAAGGGCATCATTAAAAATGTTGCCGGCGACAAAATTGCGTTCGTCTAGCACTAAACGCTTTTCCAATTACCGCAGCATACAGGGCAGAAGTCATTTTCCGCTTGCATGTCCACAATCCCCCAATCCACCCTCATTTCCGTGGCAAGTGCAGCAGATAGTGCCGCAAAACGAGCCCCACAGCTCAGTGCCCAGAGTTCCCTGCATCCTGCAGAGATGGGACCACTTTTCACTTTTCAGTTGGCCACTCGGCCGTGTCGCTTATCCATCCCAGGCCAACAATGCCAGTGGTCGATTTCAGGCTGCAAACTGTCGTCATATTTCTGCCCTGGGAACACCCACTATGCACTGAGAAAAAACCCATCTTCAAACCCTTTATTAGACGTTTGTATTTATTGTATTGCAACTAACATACAAATTCTAGCTCCGATTTAATTTAGTTACTTCTAAAAACTAGTTTTAATATCATCTAAAATGAGTGTATTTTCTATTATTATGTGTATTAATAATAATCATAACGACTAAGAAATAAAAATATAAATGTGCAACTTAAAAAATGTAACATAAGTGTAATTAAATATTTTATATTGAAAATTTAACTCTAGTGAGTTGTTAACACAATTGATTCTATAATTTAGACTAAGTGGAATTTTTGGTTTTTTCAATAACTATTAATTTGTACCCAAATACTTTAGTACAGATACAAATACAATAATACTACAGAATATTATTTTTTAAAATCTCTAAGATGCAAATTTCTTATTCTTTATCGCGATTTTTGCGCTAGTGTACCCCTCCCCTTAACAACGCATCCATGCTGGGTTTTTGTGGCTTTTGCGTGTCGTGCAGCATGCGATTTTGATGTTTGCTGCGACACGTGCGCTTAAAACCCAAGGATGAAGTGCACAAACGGGCATCATTTTAATAGTCAAATTATTTGCCTTTTTCCATTCTGTGGATTAGACACTCTGTCACCAGGGCACAGGCAGCGAAGGTGAACCCAAAGGCCAGGACGAATAGAGCACCGCCAATGTTGTTCACATCCAATGCCTGGGGAGCCCCCTTGACCTTAAGCCCATTGGCTAGATCCATAAGCACTTCCTGTTTTTTCTTGTCCATATATTTATCAATAAACTGGGACAAAAAGGAGTTCCAAAGTGTATAAAATAAAAAATTGTTAATAAATATTGTTTCATATGATTTCAAACCATTTTCACATTACCTCCAGCTCCCAGTGGTAATATAAGCCCGTTTCTTGGCAAGTCCGAATGTGCTTGTTCAACTCAGGCATCAAGATCCAACCACGTATCGAAACAGCTCTCGTATAATCAAAATATAAATCGTCATGTAAGACCTTGCACAAGAAATTAGTTTTTTAAGTACAAAATAATTTAGTAACATAAAGTAATATACAATACGGTTTTCCAGTGCCTCCGTGGGCACATAGTCGCCCACGGATAGCGAACCCGAAGAGAGTCGTTCGATTCCAAATCCATAGTTGGGTGCAAAGCTGGCATTATATAAGTAGCTATAATCGTGCACCTCGAAGTTTTGGGCCAGAATCTGTTCCGTTTCCATATCGGAGCTTTGAACCGTGTGCACCCAGATAATGGAGGGAGCTGCCCACTTCCACTGCGACTGGGCCCATTTCTCGATCGTATCCACCGGGGCAGAGAAGAAGGGAAAAGTTAGCATCGACTTCAGCTGGCCACTGTATATATTTTCCAACGTGATTGTAGCACATAAAAGAGTAGCCAGGAAAAATCTCGGGGCAAATCGATCAAAGCTAATAGAGAAAATGTAAAATTGGATTTTTAAATTGTATCTAGTTTATTTATATAATATATTATATTTATAATACTTAATATCAACGGCACTGGTTATACTTACGAGGTGATAACGTTTAACTCACCTTAGAGTAGCAGATGGCTGTTGTATAAAAAGATCAAATATGTCCAGCATGGATTTTTCAAGCTTCCTACCATGATGAAATGTCCTTTGATTCCCACAAATCCCCAGACGATAACTGACGTATTTCATAAAATATAGAAAGGTCCCGCAAATCGAAAAGGTTGCGATCAGCATTAGCCAAGTGAGGTCATTGAATGGCATGATGTTGGTGCGCCAACTGGGTAGGGGTCTGAAAATTGTAGACTTTATTTTAGTATTTTGAACTTCAACGGAGCTTGACGGAAACTTACTCTGGGCCTGGACCCAGGATAGTCACCGATGAACGAGCGATGGTATGCGAGGTCTCCGTAATTCCATCGTACCAATTGTAGATACAGCCAATGGCCATCTCCACACGCTGCTCGTAGATGTCCCCTAGCATTCCATCGCTCGATTCGTTGTCGTAAATCCCGCCCCAGTTGTCAGCGCCATCTGCAAGAAAGTATTCTTATATTATCTTAACTTCTGATCCCAAAAAAAAACAAACTGTAACTTTAATTTAAACTTTTCCTTTATCTATGTATGTTATTTTTATCTTCTTTTTTTAATTTTAAAATAAAAATGTGCACTCATTTTAAGGATATCCTTATGACAAAAAAATTAGGAAAAAACTTATCCATATTGTTCACTTAATATTAAATATTATATTTAAAATATTTTCTAATAGGTATTTACTTAATATTGTCTTCATTTATCAAATTCAGTTTGCAATTTTTCAAATACTTAACTCTAAGCTAATTTTCCCAAAATTATACAACTTTATGCATTTTGATACTAGAAAAACAATTTACAAGGAAAAGTTCCTTGTATTAGAAGAGCAAAGTGAAAAACATAAAAGGCCAGGATAATAATTATTTAATTTTGAAATAAGCTACTCATGAGTGACTTACAGGCCTCGACTCTTAGATGACAGTTGTGCACCTCGCAGAAGGTCTTCATCACATTGGCCTCGGCTCCGTCAAAGTTAACCGATCGGTTGGCCTTCGCCGGATGGATGGGGTCCACGTCGCCCTGGCCGGCGGGCTGCAATGGGTTAATGCTTAATGGTTAACTATGGCCGGCCAATCAAGTGACTCTGCTAATTTCGTTAATGGTCTTGTTGGGGCCACGCCCACACCAGTACCATTACCCACTCACACAAAGTAACATTCAAATGGACATCGACACTTGGCTCGTCGGGCGGCAATTAAATGGAAACACGTAATTTAAATCAATGTTGGTGCTGTGCCGGATCCAAAGCCAAGCCCCAAACAAAACCACATGCACATGCTTGTGGCTGTTTGCCTGTCTGTGGGAGTGTGTTAGTGCTAGTGTGTGGCCGGGTGTGCGTGTGTTTACAAATGTGCAAATGTCCTTAAGGCACACAATTGAGTGCGAACAAAACTTTAGCCAAATGACAACAAAAGCACGTTTTTTTGCGTCTATTTTGTGGTTACAATGGGATAAGAAGCATTTTGATGGAGTCGAATAAATAACCGATTAAGTTTAGATTGAAAATATTGTTGCATAATATGTAATACTAAAACAGCTTAATTTATAATTAATCAAGAATAATAATGAATTCTAAAAATTATAGATAAAATGTTACCCAATAAGTTTTAAATAAGGAAATGTATTTATGTTTTGTGACTTTGCTTGACTTAGTTAAAAAAAAATTGGCAATTTATTATTCAAATATTTTATTGTCCATGGCATTACAAATTCTTAGAACGAAAAAAGGTTAAAGGTTCTGAAAATTTTTTCGTCCCACAGTTCCCATTTGTAGTCGGACAAATCATGGAGACGAGTCCTGACAACTCCCACTAGTGATTACCATGGACTGGGCACCGCAGCACAACATGTGCTTACATTTTAGTTGCCGAAATCGTTGCCCACAACGACAACAAAGCCAAATAACTAAGCACCCACACCACCAACACCACCGTCAAACACACACAAACACCAACAATTCCCGCACACACACACACATGTATGTATGTGGGGCAAAGGAGCAACCACTGGACATTTATTCATGATGAGTTCGCACACTGAGCCCGACTAATGCAAAGACAACGATGTGAATGAGCCTGATGAAGATGAGGAGTGCTCCACATTCTGAGGGGAAGGATGGGGTGTGGGACAGGGGAACAAGGACGACCAATTGGCTTTGCTTAATGTTGGGGTGCAAATCTCTGGCTTTTGGGTAAAGCTGGCTGGCCATCGGGAATCCACAGAGAAAAATAATTAAAAACCTCAAAATTTTGTTCAGTAGAATAATTAAGTTATTTTGAGTTTATTATATAATATGTGAATTTGGAAAGGCTCAAATATATCTATTGGGATTCCTCAAATTAAAATAGTTTTAGATTTAGTTTCTTTTACCTTTTTTTATTTTTTTTTTAAATATTTAAAACTGTGAAACATTTTATTAAGCATCATTTTAGATATGAAAAACATGAACAAAAAATTAGGGACAAAAAAAAACATCAAGAAATTGCCTATGGTTTTCAGGTGTATATGGCGCTCAAAACGTATTCTGATTATCATAATGAAACCATTCTCATATAATTATACCAACCAATTTGTTTGTATTTTCCTCAGTGCGACAACAACAAACGATAAATATAAACTTAACCGGCAATTACTTACCACATAATTAGTAATCGTATATGGGACATAAGTAATGGAGCCAACAAGCAGGCTGCGTCCCTGCAGATTGAGCAGCTTGTTTGGATAAAGTTCGACCCGCTTGGCAAAAGTTTCGTTCGGCAAGAATGCGTCCAGGAGCAGGGCATCCAAATTACTGAAGGCACCGACAAACTTTTGTGTCCACAGCTCGAAATTGATGTCGCGGTAGGGCGAAGTGGTTGTTGTCCCTGCCAATTCGCCTACTCCATCGTCCTTGTTTCCCATGTTTACCGATGCGCCTTCTTTGCTCCTGGTTTCTGGTGGTGGTCCTGTGTTCGGTCCTTGTCCTGCCTCCGTTTCGGTTCCAGGTCGCACCATCAGATGGTGGGGGTAGACTAAAGCGCATTACAGCGATTTCCCGTTGTTGGACAAGCAAAAACAAGGGATATAAAAAAGGGCAGGGACTTTGTTTAGAAATCGAGATATATCGACGAAAGTTTACTTAATGTTGCGGTTTTCCTATTGCAGACTAAAGTTACGACACTAAAATTAAATTACATCTCCAACTCCATTCTCCATTGCAATTTGAATGAACAAAGTAATAAATCTAGAGCCAATCTTCCAGCCTTAGTAACTACAGGGTATGTGACAACAGCAAGTGCACAAAAGTACAAAAAACAACAGAGAGGGAAAAAAGAGGAAGCCGAAAAAAGCCCAAGTTTACAATTGAACAAGACGCTGCCGAGCGTTGAAATTATTGGCAAGTGCTAAAGTTTGATCAACTGGCCACGAATGTCCTGCGGCTCTTTGCCGACCATGTTTACGCGGAAGTCCTCTCGTGTGGGGGCGGCAAAGGAAACTTTTCCAGTTCGACTTGTTTTGCCACGCCCCCAGGGAAGTGGCGAGAAGTCACCGCTTAAGCTAATAAATTGATGCTGACTGGGTTGGTTGAATACGATGGAATTGGACAGGAACACTCAATTTAAAGGGGTTATCTGAAGTGCCCATATTAAGATCCATATCATATACTCACACTGCAGTATATCCATGCTCAGCAATTCCGCAGGGTTTTCATCCTCGCACAGGAACAAATATCGCTTATCCTTGAGTCGCACATTAGCATTGCGGGTGGCATAATATCGAGCGTGAAGAAAGTGGTTAGTCTGCGACAAAATGGTTATAAATCCCTTCATAATTAACAAAAATAAAATACAAACATTTTATAATTAATTAAGTAAGAAATCGCTGGCAAATAACTCACCTCTGTGACACTGCTATTTAGAGCACCCATAACTTGATCCTCCAGGGCCGTTAGATCCTTAAATAGTGCCACATTTATCCATTGAAGCCTAATAGGCTGCCGCAAATCCCGGAGAACCAATTGCAAAGCACTTAAATAATCCAGTTGAAGAGGAGTTGTAGAGCCGGAATTGTTGTAGACAATCAGAATGGATGAAAATCCAGAAAAGTATTGACCAACTAGAATGGAATTAGCTTGAGTTGGCTATCAAGTCCAGAGAAGAATTAGTTACCTATAAGCCGAAGCAAGTGGCTTAAGTGCATCACCAACGGTTGCAACAACATCTTGACTGCCTTTTGAATTCATTTTACCGAAATGCGCCTTTTATAGGGCTGACATTTAATGACTCTGCTTCGATTGGCCTGCAAATTGATTTAACTCGAACTGTAATTGAAAACCTCCGGCTGGTCGTCTCTTTGCAAACTGGAAATGGCCATTGTTTGTCCAGACATTAGCCTAATGAAACGCACACATCACATTACGATATTTGCATAATTCAGTAAACAAACAAGAACATAACAAAAGGGTGCCTCGGGTAAGTCAGGCGGAAACCCTTAGTTAAGGTTAACTATCATATATTTGAGTCAGTCGCATGAAAGTCAGCGAACGCATCTTTCAGTTCGTAAATCAACTCAGAGCACTGCACAAAAGAGGAAGGATAAAGTTGTGAACAAGTCCTAGTAATATCACGCTGTAAATAGTAAAGCAATTATCTATTAATATTATTTTACTTTTGCAGTTTAAAGAAAAAAGACCCAAGATGACTATTTCATAAAAAACAAAATAATCTTTTTAAAATTTCCGATTTCCCTTCCATATTTCATAGTTCTGAGTTCTTTGTAATACCGTAAATACCCTTAAACTCGGCTATTAAGTTTAACAGTCCCCTATTTTTTACAGTGATCAGGCTTAACCCCTGGCACTGGGCCAATTAGCGGTCCCACAAATTAGCGACAACAATGCGGCCAAACGACTGACTTTCATTATGAATGCGAACAAAGCCCGAAACGAAACTAAAGGTCCACAGATGGTCGACAGAAACTGAGCCGGGACCAGGCCAAGTGTCAATTGAAACAATTCAATTGGTCTGCCAGCAAATTCTGTGGGCAGTGAGGGGTTAAGGACGCAGGACACAGGACGAAGTAGCATTCGCCATCGCCGTTGTGGGAACACAAATGGACAGTCGAGACAAGCAGACTCCGGGAGTGAATGTGCGAGTGTTGCGAGTGCTTAACCATTGGGTTATTTGAAATTGAAAGACAGATTAAAGGATTTGCTCCTGGCGAGCCAAAGCAGAGTCGGATCGGGACATAGGCATCCTGCCCACACGAGGGCGAATAGCCCGAAAGGGAGAAGCCAGGCAGTCGGTTCCTGGTCATTTAAGTGCACAGCAGGCGGCGATTTTATTGCCTCGACAACCTGCTGGGATCCACCCGAAAACCAGCAAAAAATCATAGCATCTACCCACACACACATGGCTCGGCCCTGAAGGGCAATTAAACACTCAAGCGGTGTGTTACCGCCCCAGTCCGAGTTCCCAGAAAGTCAATGGCATTAAAATTCCATGAAACGATATTTATCTTCCCAAACGCTTTGCTGGGAGTGGCCATAAAGCGAACGAGGTAATGACTTGATAAAGTGATGCTACTTTTTTTGGTAAATCACGTTATGAAATTAGCTCTGGCTTAAAAAATCCTTCCAAATATTACTTATTTATTTTTTAATGTGCAAGCTAACCTTATTATAGAAAATAAGTATAAAATATTGTTAATAATGTAAGTCCAATATCAGACTGATAGAAATGAGCTGCCCAACTATTTAAGTTTAACATGAATTAACAAATGAAATAAATTACTTATACATTTTCTTCGAAAAAATTGAGGGACTCCTCACTTATCTTAATTACTTCTTCAATTTAATCAACCAAATTTTAGGCTTTGGATTTTATGTTTGTTTTAACTCTCAATTTCGTTCGAAAGCATTGTCTTATCATAAAACTTATAGATGTGTACCGGTTTTTAAACGGATAAGCATTATTATTCGAACTTTTTCTAAAAAACCCAATTCGCAGCTCCTTGAAGTATGCAACACTAATCAAGACACAAATGCAGATTTGTGCGATTACGTGTTTGTCTGCGTGCGTGTCTGTCCGCAGAAATGGAATTTACACGCCTGGCACACGCACACACAAAGGCACATGCAACCATCAGTCGGTGGTGGAGAAAGGGGATAAGAACCGCAGGCGGGCTGACCGGCAAACCGACCGCAGTGTGGCCCACAAGTTGCAGAATTGGCCAACACAGTGGCAACATATGGCCAAAAACCGAAAAGGTTTACGGCTGGGTGTTTGAGTATGAGTGAGTGTGAGTGCGTGGCGCATTTTTAGCTAAAGTTTTTTTTTAAATTCTTTTCCTCTTTGCTGGCTGCGGCTTAGAGTTCTGTGTTATGCTTTCATCTGGTGCCTGCTGGCGGGCAATTTGCCTAGACCGAATTGCACTTGCATGCTAATGAAAAGTGCTCGCCGCAGAAAGAACTTTAAATTGCCTCCAATGTTAAAGCCAAATTACCCGCCAGTAAAACCCACATACAAGCATATTTGCCCATCCATTTGCATTTAAATAATAATAATAACAACAGCGAGTGGGGCGCGGCAATCAAGGCTCGCTGCTGCATTAATGAATAGCGAAACGAGGCAATGTCCTTGAAGTCCTTGGCAGCCAACTAAACAATGGCAACATGAAGGCTTCGGCGTAAATCGTGCCACTTCATTATGGCTGACGGCAGCTGGAACTGCGAAGGGAATAAGCCTTGCAAATGAGTTTTCCCTTTTCACGACTTTCACTAGCTCATTTTCCGCGGCAACTGACTAACAATGCGATGTGATCAATAATTGTCAAGGAGCCAGAAACGATTGAAGAGAAATTTAGTATGTAAAAGCCAAGCTCAAAGTCTGAAAATAAAATAATCAGTTGTGCATTTTGCACAGAGTTTTAATTTCAATTCAACTTGTAACATGTCTATAAAACTTACCCCCAATATTTGGCCAGTTATTTATCAAATTTTAAATTGATTTTTTATAAGACTTTATTTTACAAATTTTTATAAAATGCTTGGCTACATCAAGTTTCCAAAATTTTAAATAAAATTCCCAGAAAACTTATTTACTATCCATTTTAATTAAATAGTTGTATTCCTCAAAACCTTATTAGTAACTTAATTTAATTAATTAATTGTTTAATTTGCCTTATTGATTCCGTAATCAAATAGCTTGTTCTCTTGACTCCTAATTATTCGTATAGAAAGTGATACAATCACAATCTGTCACCTGCTACGTACTCAATGCCCGAGTCAGAAACAATTACGCCCAGCTCATCAAGTGCCCGGCACACATTGCGTATGCTTGATAACCATTTGTGACATCTGACGGTATCTGACAAGCATCCGACAAGCTCTGCAGGATTCCTCCGTCAGTTCATGGAAATGTGTAAATATTTGCATGGTAATTAGCCAGGACATCATTTTATATACAGTTTCAGTGAATTAGTCGTTGTCCTTGAATTCGTCGTTGTCCCATTTGCTTCTGCAACTGCCACTGCGTGTGCTAGGTGGAAAATGTTTTACCTATAACATTTGGTTGCCGCACAATTATGCAGATTGCCACTGCAGAAATGGGACGAGTGGGCGGGGACTCGAAAGTTTGTGCAAACATTTGCCATTTGGTCGAGGCCAGGCCCCCTGCAGCTCTGTGCTCATATTTGTGTTTGCCATTTTCGGGGTATTGAAAATTCCAATTTTTTCATGATTTGTATATACATTGAAGAGGCCGTTTGCGTTTTCTACTCTCTTTTTTTATTTACCAAAACCTCTCCTTCGAGTTTGAGGCAAACACTCGAGCGTGTAAATGCACACAAGAAAAAAAAAATAAAGCTTGTAAAAACTAAAATAGAAACACATTTCATTTCCGTAAGATCTGGCAGAGTGGAAAAGGAAAATGTGCAGCACTTGGGAGGGAGGGAAAGGCAGGGGGGAGAACAACTGGCAAACAACAAGAAAGTGGAAATAAACTTGGCGATAAACCAACGAAATCGATTGGAAATATTTTAACGAAATTGCAGCTTAAAGTGTCAAGGCAGCATGTAGGTTGCTGCCAAAGTGGGTGGCATTTTCGGGGGGCAGCAATCATTTCCACTGACGCTAAGATGAGTGCTCGCTGCGATGATTCGGCTGTCAATGATTATGAGGCTGCAGCTGCAAAATGTTGCTGCTGGGTATTTAGATAATACCGCCCATCCACTTACCGATTTCTCCCTTCCAACTACAGTAGAACTTCCATGGATCGAACATCAAATTTAAAATAGTCAAGAACTTGAGAATTTTACTCATTAAAAATTTCTGGCGATTTGCAGGACTTATTAATAAATATAAATCAGTAGAATAACTAATTAAAAATAAATATTAATTCTTAGGATATTCAGGGGCCATAAAAGAATGATCTTAGAGATGGATGTAAAACAAGTTATAGGGAAATTTGAAAGCCCAACCTTTAGGAAAAGGGTATTTCGAATGTCCAAATATTTGTTTAACAATAGAACATCTTTTATAGGAAAGCTCGACTGTCTTTGTATCTCTCGAGTGTGCAGTTCAAGTGAAGCGCAACGGCAAAGAAACAGTTTAAATGCTAACAATGCAACGGTTTCGGGTCAAGTATTTCCATCTTTCCTCGCTTTCCCCTGCCGTTTTCCCAGCAACGGAAACGAAGTGTAATGAAAGCGTGTAAAGTGCAAATCGAAAAGGCAATACAAGTAACGAGTACAAAATACTTGTACACCTCTGCCCCGCTCCTCCCCCTGGCCCAGAATTTTCTCTAAATTACCAATGTCGGACCCGGGCCAGGACGATAAGGATAAGGGGCTGGGAAAGTTGGTTGGGTGCACGGGCACATCCTGCGACCGAAACAGGTGAAATGAAGGAAACAGGCTGAGGAAATGTTTTGCAAAATGCAAGTTTCTTTTACGCTCCAAATGGCTTTTTTTCCACTGCTGCCATTTGGGCCCCCATTTTTTTTTGTGCGAAATTATAACTTTAATTAAATGAATTTAATTTGGCAACCTTTTCGTAGTCGAGCTGCATCCTAATGCCTATGCCTTGACTTGGCTGGGCGAGAATCGTTATTACTTTGAGCCTAAACAGATTTCCATATTTCATTTGCATTTGCCGACCACAAAAACCGCCAACAAATTAAATATTGATAATTGTTTTTTCCCAATCTATTCCTATCCCTATG